GCGTGCGTGCGTGCGTGCGTGCGTGCGTGCGTGCGTGCGTGCGTGCGTGCGTGCTTGCGTGCGTGCGTGCAAGCCTGCGGGAGTGCGCGCGCGCGCGTGCGCGTGCGTGTGTTTGTTTTAACCTGTTGCCATAGACTAAGAGAGTGTTTTTAACCTAGTGTTTTAGTAGATCTTCGGTTTCCTCATATGATTTGGACTGTAGCCATTTTTATAGAAGTTTCGTGCAAAGCCTTAAAAACAGGTTCACAAGTCCACGAAAACGTATGAAGTTCCCAACTCGCAAGGGCCAGGGTGGCGGACTATGGCCTAGACCTAGACCCTCGCCTGAGAGGAGACCCGTGCCCAGCAGTGGGATGTATAAATGGATTGATAATGGTGGTGGACACACAATTTTTTACTACAGGAGGAGGTCAAGAGAGTGTTGTGCCGCATCCGCCGCGTGATAAAGGAGGGACTTCAGCCCGTCGCCACGAAAGACGCTGACGACAGCAACAAGGCTGACGGCACCGACAAGGCTGACGACACCGACAAGGCTGACGACACCGACAAGGCTGACGACACCGACATGGCTGACGACACCGACAAGGTTGATGGCAACGACTACGTTCACAGGTCGCCTAACATTTTTAAGAACTTATTACGTATATTAATTTCATCTCACATTATCACTACCAGCTCCTGTACTATCCTAATTATCACCGTCGACATAAGGCTATGACCACACTCCGACTGCAATACTTTATGAAGAAACTGAAGCATTAAATAAAAAATTGGCAATATTATTCATTTATATTTATGGACATTTCACGCTTGTCCAAAATATTGACTATGTTAAATTTATTATCATAAAAAGATCTATCGGTTCCTAAGACAGTTTCCCTGTGTCAACTATTTATGAGAGGACTGAAAAAAATCTTAAAACAATTGATTTGGATCATCGAGTATAAAACCAGAAATAGAGGCGAAATGTCATTTCAATTTGTTTGAAAACTATTCTGCCAAATCTTTACTATAACTTTTCAACTTATGTCTCAAGGTGACGGGCGCAGTGCCCCTCAAATCTTTGTAATTTAAAGCTCTGAGTGGCACTGCAACCGTTGTGGACGGGCGTGTCGCTGACAACTAGGCGTACGACTTGTTCGTCCAGTTACTTAGTATCAAAAAAAAAATCTTTATTTAATTCACAGCTTCAAAGTGGAGGTGAAAGAAGAGCCAGACCCTGAACCTGATCCACTACAAGATCCCCCCAATACCGCTTTCGATGTAAGCATTATTTTAATGAAAAATAGACATGCGCTTGTCTAAACATTGCGATCTTGATCTTTAATTACATTACATAAATTTAGTAACATTTAGTAGCCGTAGAGCTCGTTGTGAAAGAATTAGTCCAGGAAAGCACTGCCACCTTATCTATTTTTGCCGCCAAGCGGTAATGTGGTCATTGCTGAGTTCCGGTCTTGAAGGGTAAGGTTGCTGGTGAAATTATATTGGCACATGGGACTTGTCGACTCTCAGAGTGACAGACGCAATGGCAGTGCCCCTCAGATCTTTGCGATTTAAAGCTCTGAGTGGCAATGCAACTGCTATGGACAGGCGTGTGGAATAACACCAGGCGTACGACCTGTTCGTCCTGTTACTTGGTATCACAAAAAAAGCATGGTCTGTACATTGGAATCCAGGTGACGGCATATACATGCGATGAAAACTAAGTTTTGGTTAAATTTCTAGCAATCGGAACTTAAAAGCGAAGTGGACATCAAAATCGAAGAGGAGTGGCTGTTTGAAGAGATGAAACAAGAGAACAGCGACGTGCACGTGTTCACGCACACCACAGGTTAGTGTGGATAAATTTATTACAGCTGGGTATTTATTGAAAATGAAAGACCGCAGAAGGTAAGCACCACTCCCCTCCTTGTCAGAACCTTGGCACCTAAAGTTTTATTTTCACATAAATAATGTCAATCAACGCTGATTTTGCTTAACAATGAAAGAAACTAAATAAGTTGTTAAAAACCGATTAGAGGGGATTGTAGATCTCAGTTTCGCTCATCTCACTCAGTTATATTCATTCGCTAAAAATGTATTTTACGTTAGTTATGATAGGGAGGGCAGACCACTTGTATTAAAATTGGAAAAGTTTGGGAAAATTTATTATATAAAATTTGCAGCTTGTTAGTTTTTAGATTTTCCAGTAAATGACCAACTCGGTACTTGTTAATGCGTACGAACTCACGAACAGAATCTGCCTCCGTAGTGTGCCGTCTCGATAAAGCTATTTATTATATCCACATTTATATAATAGCTAACGAAAATTAAACATTAATTAAATTAATTAAAAATTAAACGACAAAGATAGCTATATATGCAATTTCATATCGTTGTCGTTGTTCTTTAAGATGTATAACAATATTTCATTACCAAACAAACAAACTTAGCTTTATCAACTGAAATAAATATTGCCACAGGAACACTTTTGCCCGCTTTGTTTTCAAAAAAACATACTATAGGCTATAATCCATCCTTTCAAGGTTACAATATACCAAACTTCTTTTTTTTTCAGCTGAAGCCGGGAGCGATAAGATGCCACAAAAACGACACTCACAAAATATCACCACGATACCGGAAAAAAAGCTACATTTCACCATAGAATCTAACACACCCAGCTGCAGTGGATCTGGGGTTAACATAAACAAGAATTTAAAAGTAATAACCATAACTCCACTTCTATTGAACAAATCTGCGTTGAAAGAGGAAACAAATGAAGGTAATAAAAGTGTTATGTTAATATTAACTAAATTTAAATAACGGTCTTTTTGAACCTGTTAACTTTAGTTTCTATATTAGTATATAATACAAAATCTATGAGTTCCTATATATATATATTAATACAGATGAGTTTGTGGCACTCTATGGAGACTGAGCAGTTACTTCATTAGGGTCGTAGCTAGAGTACAATTTATGGTAGTGGAGATTTTGGTAATGGCAGCAGTAAACAATCGTTAACTTGACCTTGAGATAATAGACTCCACCTTTTATTCCCCGTAGCTCTATGTCCTTGTGGAACAATTGCAATCTTAACATGCCATAATTATTCCCAAGTGGAAGTCAAAGCAAATAATAATTTATTCTGTAGGTAAAATTTTGTACATTTAAACACATAATTTTTTAAGATACTACTCGTTCACTACGCTGAGCTCCCTGAGAAGAACAAGCAAGAAACTCTAGGGATTGCTCTTTTCAAATAAACTCAAATGCTATGGAATAAATACACTTTGAATCATAATTGTGTGGAATCAACTTGTCTTTCCATACGTCTTATCATATATAGAGTATTTATCAAAGAAATACTCTTCAACTTTGTAATATGACTTTTCAATTAAATTAAAATACTTTTAATGTAAGTTTAAAACTTAGAAATGATAATCTTAATATATACTCCGGAATATTATTGTTAAAACGTATAGAGTTCTCCAGAAAAAAATCGTTTATCTTAGTTAAACGAAAACATGGTACCATGAGTTTAGACTTAGTTCTAATGTTAATATTGTGAATATCTTCTTTCTTAACGAAATTATGTATATTTTTACGAGCATACAAAATATTTGAGTAAATGTACTGTGATGCCACAGTCATGATACCAGTCTCCTTACACTTTTCTCAGAGAGAACCTAAGAACCTAAACGATACCCAGAACGAATCACTCGTTTTTGCAACACAAATATGGTTTGTATATCTGCCGCTGTACCCCACATGAGATCCCATTAGGCGCATGCACAAAATCAACTCTCTTTGTATATTAATCATCATCATCATCATACGTCCGACTGTTGGGCACAGGTCTGCTGTAAAAGAAGAAACGGTAAAGAACAATAAAATTATTAAAATAATAGGTTCATTGTGTTCCCAATAATTTATGCATGAACATTTTTTTTTTTTCAGATACCCAACCTCAGGCCAGCGAAGAAGGAAGTTCTGTGAAGAAGAAAAATAATTCACTTGTGAAGAAGAAAAATAATTAACGTCTATTTTAGTTTTATTATTTTCTGCTCGAATTTTCATAATATTTGCGGTACTGTTTACTTTCTGTAGTAACCAAACAACAAATAAAAACAAAATGATTTGTTTGAAACCCTGACGCGTGGAACCACAGTTTTGTGCACACTATGGAACTTTCTCGTCTAATTGTCCTGGTCGTCCGCAAAAAAACGCGTGAAACGCTCGTGCCAATTCGCTCCTAGCTAATTTACTTCGTGGCTTTTATAAATAAACACTGACCCTTGTAACAATAAGCGAATTCACTTGGAGCGTCGCGGCTCGTGGTCCTCGCTTTACTAAACGGACAAGCATTTTCCGACCAGCTTAATGATTCCATGGTGACTCCTTTATGCAACTGTTTCTGTAAAATTTTACTGGCTCCAAAGCGTGAAATTTTGAAAGTATTATTTTTAGAATTAGCCCGTTTTAGTTTTTCCGATTAGATAGGTAGATGAACACTATATTCACTAATATGACACTAAAAACTATTAAATACAAAAGGAAAAAAATACAAAATTTTTTCCATAGCAGTGAAAGGATGCTGTCTCAGCGTATTCCAAATTTCCCTAGGGCGCTGGTTTTAAGTCAGAACCAACGAGTGAGACTAAATGTAGAAGGTATTTGTAAGCAAAACTATAACAATATATATATATATACAATTACTTTGTGGGATCTTAAAAATTGAGTATTTTTCGTTTTCTCGGATTTATTTTCTACGTGATATGTCACAATTATTAAGAAATGTTGATTAAATTTAACATGCAATAGTACATGTAGCAATAATATCTGATTACTTGGGTCTCCCTGTTAAATATAAGTAAGTGGATATTACGACTGACAGATGGTTTAATTTTAGATATTGCAAAAATGAAACACGTTCGATGTGTTGATCATGATTGTTAACAAGTTCGCCGTGAATGGTGATGTAAGCTGACATGTTATCAGATATTTACGTTGTGAACAGTCAGTGTGTAGGTAAACTTAGGGTCGTATTCCAGAACTCTACTCAATGCTCAAGTTAGGATTTGAGCAGACTTGAGTATGATTTCAAGCACTGGAAATACGACCCTAATGGCAAGGACTTGAGTATGATTTCTAGTGCTTTGAATCATACTCAAGTCCTGACTTGAGCATTGAGTAGAGTTCTAGAATACGACCCTCAGACATTTAACGATTATGTGTTGAGTAACGCGACCAAAATAGCCATAATATTTATCATACTTTGACTAAATAATAATCTGTTATTTGAAGAAATTCAGTGACAACGGAATTACGCCAAATCTTTGCATGTGGGGAAAACACTGCACTGCAGGGAAAATAAAAACCTCATTGTAAGCGCGTGAGTGAACTAAGAAGTAATCGCACGGCATCTTGATTAACCTGGATAAATCTTATCTAGTTGTATTAATTTGTTTAGCCTAAGCATATGTTTTAGTTTAGTTTTAGGAGACTGCAATAAAGTGCATTTTTTTTAATTTGGCTGTTTTACTCAGAACGTCCAAAATCATTTTTATCGTTTTCTTTAACCTATTTTAAGATCTTGAGACGTTTACAACTTATTATTTAACTTTTGTTTGAAAACATTTATTTAAGGGCTATCTACTTTCCACTACCGTGTATGCGGGTTACATGCATTTTATATAACGCAAGCCGTTAACAAGTTCTTAATTTTCGGGTGCGAGGCTTGAAGGCAGCCGTAGTGTGACGTCAAACGTCGACGACATACTACAGCCTCACAAGTGCAGTCGCGAGAAAGTACGCGAATGCTCGAACGTTCCCGCGATCGCGCGCGCCTTGCGCAGCGAGGCGAAATTGACACTTCCGTTTCATACCGTTCGTTTTGCCGCAATGTAAATTGAGCCTAAGATAGACACCTCTGAAAAGTGACTTGTGTCTATTGTAACTCGAATCCCATATTAGATGGATATAGTACAATTTAGAATGGTTGTAGTATAATATAATCAATGTAGCAAAAGTACGGCAAGCTTCTGTTCTTGCCCAGAGACAAAAAAAAAAAATATTTGGAAAAAATTAAAATAATTGATAAGTAGGTTAAAAATTCACGATACTTGCGAATATTGTATGAGAATATGAATCTTAAAAATTATGAGGTTGTTATCGATTAATAATACCGCCATAGCTGAGCCTAGTTCCGGTATGGAGAAGGCTACTGCTGAATTTGAGGTAGAATAGAACACGTGGCAACCCTGATGTTCTCCAGTTGCTGTCATCCGATTTTTTATTATTTTGGAACGAATGAGTCGTGGACGTACCTATTAATTAAACAAGACTGAGCTGTATCAAAAATGAAAAATAACAATATTATGTATCAATTAACAAGAAGAGTATGATCATCCTATTAAAAAGGGTGCTAAATAGAGATCAAACTGGTATTAGGTCTATGTTTACTATCCGGCCGGATACCGGATAGTAGAGCAATATCCGGCCGGATACCGGATGTTTAAAACATAAAAATTTATAATCTGTACGCCAAATAAATTAATTTATTGATTAAAGATATGATAATAATAGGATAAACAGCAACTACAGGATCGCTGACAATGTGTTTATTCCTTGTAACTGAAAGAACTATATGAAGTTAGATAACGTTATCTGTAATTTTAGCATGCAAATTTCAATAAAAGCAAATTATGGTGGGTGAAGCCCAGTTTTTCTGCATTACGTGGTAAAAGTTGGTTCTATTTATTTTCATAAACGAGACTTTTTTGCACTAAGAACTCTTACAAACTTTGTTAAAATTTAAGTAGGTACAGGGTCTAGGCCACGTCTAGCTTGACACTTGAGATTTAAATCCAACTCTATGCTGCTTATGATAAGAACGGTCCAAAGTACAAAGTGCCAAGCTTGACGTGCTCTTGACTGTACTATTTGTTCTTGTCAGACTACCAAATGAAACGACCGCGATCACTCGATCGATCGATTTGACCTGTATTCAAATTATAATTGAAGTACATTGTGATTTTCATTATTGTCTGTTGGAGGGTTGGGAGATTACGAATCGGTTAGTTATTTGCTCGTGCGTTATCAGTTCGTTTCACGAATGTCCGGGCTGGAAACGCCACCTCGAGTTTTACCGACCTAATAGGTAATCCGTGTATGTATGTACGTACAACGGCACATCAGACTACACATTTTTGTTCGAAAATCGCCTCCAGTGCAACGGAACAAGATACGTCAATGTGTAGCTTGATGTGCTGGCGTGTATACATACATGGACTTGAATTATTGGCCGGGCATTTTCGGGTTGTATACATACGTTAGCATGGTTGTACATTATTGACTCTCCAAAAAGGTTTCAACGCTTTTGTAAGAAGTAGATTGGAATACTGTGCGACCATTTGGAATCCGTGTGAGGATATATATACTCTTCTAATTGAAAAAACTCAGCGGAAGTTTGCTCGCTACTTGTACAAAAGAAAATACGGTTATTATCCTCTGCTTTTTCCTTCCGTGTTTGTGTCTGGAATGGTCGGTCTCGACACCCTGGAGCTCAGACGTAAAATTCAAGCTGTTGTTCAATACGCATTTCTCCTGAGGGGTAAAGTAGACAACCCTGGAACACTGAACAACGTCGGCCTATTTGTGCCAGACAAGTATTTGCGCACGGGACGGCGACGTCATCATCTGTTTGCACTGCCCGTACACCGCACTTGCCGCGCCGATAATGCACCCACGCGACGAGCTGTCTCATTGATCAATTGTTTGGTCTCCGAGGTCCAAGATGCTGACATTTTTTATGACAGCATTAGTCAACTTACAAATAAATTAAGCAAAATATGTAATTAGTATAGTTCATTGCAAATGTTACCTATAAAATATTAACTTTGTATAAGAATTTAGCATGTAAGCGTTTTGGTTTTTTACTGTAAGTTTACATTGTAAGTTATAATTAAATAAATAAATAAATAAAGGCAAATTAATTAATACCACTTTTTTTTAAATTCTTGCTTTGCCCTTGCTATTTATTGAGTAATTGGTAAGTTTAGAGCAGCGGACAGTAATGAATTTTCATACTCAACAAAACAATCTAACCAATTCATACTACAGTCGGCCAACGGACACGCCTAAACGGAGCAATCGTGCGGGGTGTGTCAAGCGAGGGAGGGACGGGTATGAGTAGTCGAGCTGCCAACTAGGAATGCACGATTTTTGCTATGAATTGATTCTTTGGATCGTATTCCTCTGAACCGATCCACGAATCCGATCGTACGCTCTTGAATCGATCTCATAAAAACCGTTTCAAAAGTTGAATTCGTTATGTGAACAAAACGCCTTTTTATATTATATTATTTAATTGCCATAATAATATGTAAATATTTGTTTACTTTTCACAGATGCCAATCTTTTACACCTAAACTTTTCTAAAATAATATCATAATAAGTAAGTGAATGTCCACAGCATTGTCCTTCTCTTTATTTTCCATTTCTGTACTTGAACCTGTCAAATATTACTGAAAATGACACAAAAACCGAACAATTTAAACCTATTTCACTGCAACGAAAAGTAGTCGTGAACATTTTAAATATATGAAAAAGAAAATATCTCATTACTGTTACGCTGTGCAAGTGTAGAGTTAAAACATATTAGATATCGTTACTAGGTCGACAGTGGTTCTATATGAGTTTCGACTTTCACCCCGTGGAGCGAGCTCGCGCAGCACGTCTGGCGCGTGGAAAAAAAACAGGCCCCATGAAGCCGCTTAAAGAGTAGTGCTCTTATTAGTTTGTGGTAGTGTCACTTCATGTGAGTAGCAAGTTCGTGGTATTGCCTTTTGGTTTTATGACACACTGACATAATTTGCATTTTTCTCAATTATCAATCATTATAAAATTGGACCACACACTGAATTGAATCGTACACAATTACACAAACGACTATAATAATCACACGATATGACACGACGAAAAATAAATAAAATACAGCTATGATTAAAAGCTAATGATGAATAAATGTTTCAATATTTGTTTAGTACCATAAACAATGCGGATAAGCTAAATATTTTATTTATTTTTATTTCTTTATTTATAATCAGGTTACTGAGACCCATAGATACATACCTTACAGACTAACATACATAACAATATAAAATAACACTAATTACTAATTTAACACGTATTTAGGTTGTCGGCGACGTGTGGCGCCATCTGGTGTCAGGCAACCGGCCACGGAATCGCCGGTATAGGACACCCTTCGGCCAGAACTCCTCCTTCATGAAGGTCGACAGATGTTCGGTCGGCACTCTCACCACAAACGAATTAAAGTTCACGTAGTGGCGAGACTCCAACCGCTCGACCCTCAGGGTGTATTTGGATTTCAACCTGATGTACTCCACTATCTCCTCAGACTTCGTGGAGTAATGCAGGCGTGACAGGTACAGCAGCGTTGTCGGGATTGCGTTGTTGGACCCTGTCGGTGCAGTGCCGCACAGGTTACGGCCTGTGGGCTTCCTCTTCTTCTTCTCCACCTTTGTGAAGCCGTCATCGTCGCACCGGTCCGTCTGCCTCTGTGGTTTTGCAACTTCAGAGACGGGTACACGAGGTTTTTTCATCCCCTTCGTTGATAGCTGCCTGGCTTGTGGTTGTGGAGCAACGGGTCGGTTAATGGCGCATCCACACATGCCGCCGGGTTTCAGACCGCCTTGCCGCTGAATGCAGGCCGCCGGCTTTACCGGTGGCCTGCAGATGCGGTTGCAATTTTCGCAGTAGTGTTGTTAAATTATGTTATATATAAATACGACTACACTACCACTCCGTATCGAAGCCGCAAGCAAACTGCCGCCGGCAACCAAAAGCCGCGCGTGTCCCGGCTGAAATGCGGCAAATGCCGGCGGCACGGCCGCCGGCCATGCCGCCGGGCATGTGTGGATGCGCCATAACAGCTGCGACAGCGGCGTAATCACGTGGAGGGGTCAACGTGTTTACGCGTGACGTCTCCGCCGGAGCGGACAATCGAGGGGCGGGGCGCGGGGAATCGCGCTCAGCGACAGCGGTCGGTGACGCATCCGTATGGGCCGACTCAAAACTGCCGATAGATGCATTATGTGCCCCGTGACGAGTATTC